CTGCGGACCCGGGGTTCTGGAAGGCCCCTCCTCTCGAAAGAGGGCCGAGACCCCGGCCGCAGGGCGGGCGCGCCCCTGCTGCCACCAGGCCGGGTCCTCTGGGGAAGTGACCCGCGCGCAAGGACGCTCGAGGTGGGAGACCCCGCACTTGCAGGGAAGGCTGGAGCAGGAAACCGCATCGTCCCCGGCGCTTTCCGATTGGCACAATCAGGGAGACCGCCATAGATAAAGTCACAACGAATACGCGCGAAGAAAGGCCTTTGGGGGTGCATCCTTGCTTCAGCTTGGTTATTAAGTTGGCAGCCGAGAAGGGACTGTCGGGATAGGCCGGTCCGCTGTCTCTGTGCGCCTGTCGCAGGTTCGCAGGTCACTACCGATGCTCTGGTGGTGCGTGAGGTCTGTTGGGCCCCGCTGCTTCTCGAAGCTGCTCCTTGGATGCTGAGCACGGGGACAGGGAAGGTGTTGGGTCAGGCCCGAGGATCCCCAAGGTAGGGTGTTAGGGCGTGTCCGGGAAAGCCTGAGTTCCTGCGGGGCTCCTTCCTCTCCCTCAGCGGAGCCTCTGCAACAGCGCCTTACTCGCAGCCTCTCTGCCGTCCGGGGCTTTGATTCATTTGAACCGATGAGAATCAAAGCGCGTTGTGTGCCAGGCCCTGAGTGGGACGTGGGGTCACTCGACCCCCCAGGCGGTAGGCGGCCCAGTGGCCCTTCCTTTTTCCGTCGGAGCGGGACTCCTGCCCAGGCCATGAGGGAGGTGACGTCCCCAGAAGCTGGCCGAAGCCCAGGGCCTGGAGCATGGCCCCAGCCCTCCTTCAGGTTAGGCTGAGCTCAGGCCCAGGCCGGGGGAAGCCAGGGTGCCCCCGCCTCGTGCCCAGCGCAGCTTTGGCCCAGGATGCCTTGGCGGCCAGCCCAGCCTCCATGCAGAAAAGTGTCTGTTTTGTACTGTTGTTAGCATAACAAGAGGTATATTCAAGTAGTCGTAAACATTTTTCTTTGACCTAAAAGTCCACATTTTTCATAGATTTTAAAAGAAATGATTTTTTTTTTTTGGTTGATTACCTAAAACTTATTTTTCTCCAAGACTCTAGTGGCCAGGCACAGCTGGGCTCAGTGACCAGGTTTCTGTTGGGGGCACAGGTAGAGACATGGGGTAGAGCACTGAGGCAGCTATTCCTGGGGAAAAAGGACAGGCAGAGGGAACCCCCATGGAGCCCATCCGTGTCTGGTCCTTGCACCCAGCTTTGATGTGACTCCAGTTCCTTCCTGTTTAGGACAGGGACACCAGCACAGTGTCGTGTTGTAAAACAAGCAATTGCGCACTTCTGACAGGGGCAGGTGCCAGGATGAGCTACTTTCAGCCCATGAAGGGCTTTTTTCTCAGCCCTTCTCCTTCTGACCTGTTGAAAGAAAGGGCTGGATGTAAGACCCCAGTTTTTCACTGTATGTTTTCCAAACTGTAATGTTTGAAACTTCAATCAGGGGCACCAGTGTTTCTAGTACAGTATGAGAACATGTATCAGGACAGTTAAACCAAATCTATATTTTATTACTGCTACAACATCAAGGCACATTTAGGAATTACAGTCACATTTTCTATTCAGAACATGGGTGTAGGATGTGTCTGGATCGCAAGCCTCTTGTAAGAACTTTATGGCCTCAGCTATAGGCTGGTGACCATTGTCCTGACCCTCTTTAAGTCACCCTCTGAAGTGACAGCTCATGATAGTGATTGGCAGCTCCGCAGAACAGTGGGAGTCCCCCTGAGGGATGGAATTGCCCCCCCTGAGCTCTTGGAAGGTCCAGCCCTCAGAGCAGCCATTGTGGGCTCCCAGGCTGCTGTGCACCCAGCTCTGCGCTGACCCTTTCTGGGTGAGTGTGCTGCGCAGAAGATGGGGCCCGTTTCCATACCGGCCTCACCCAGGAGCCTTAGCCTCTCGACTAGGGGGTCTCAATCTTCAGGCCTCATTATTGTCACAGGGAGCAAGGTAGAGTTGCAGAATCCCAAGACAGTTCTAGAAGGTAGCAGTTCAGGGGTACAAAAGTGACCCTCAGCATACTCTGGCACCAGAGGAATGGAGAGAAGACAGATACCAAGGTGATCTGCAAATCAACAGACAGCAAAGAATACTGACAGCATTTTAACCCTGATGAGTTATAAGAGGGGATCCTTCTTAAAGAGAGCTCTGAGCTATTACTACAGTGTCTTTGACATCTCTTCACAGTGAGAAAACTGGGGTGCAGAGGAGTCAAGGGGTTTGCTTCTGTGTGGAGTCAGCAGCTGAGAAGGAATCCCATAGTCCCGGGGTCTCAAGTAGACAGCCAGAAGCAGCATCTTGTGTGTGCATGTGTGGTGGGCAGACGCAGTGCTCTGGCCGTGAACAGGCCTTCTTTCCATGGTAGACAGATGACTTGTTAGCCCAGGTGAGAGCCTAGAACTGACTTGCATCTGTGAAACTGTAGTGTGGGCTTGGGTTGCCTCTACCAAGGGCTGTAAGGCTGATGCCAGAAGGAAGTTATAATCTCATCCAGAATCAGGGAATTTTTCACTTAAAAACACACATGATTAGAACTGACTTTCAAAATGTAGGACAATCCCTAGTCAGTGTCATGGTCATTGAGTGTTTTTTTTCCTCTCACTGATGTTGGGTCGAGAGTGCTATGCTGTTGGTGTTGCATTTGGGGGTTTCCCACAAGAAGTTTTGGTCTCCAAGCACCCTTTGCATGAAGTGGCTCTGCAGACTGCAAGCAGAGGGGCCGATGCCACCTCTGAGTGTGTGCAGGCTGCATACTGGAGTGGGCGATAGGCAGGGTGGAGCGAGGCCAGGAAGCGCAGGGACAGGTGCTCCGCTGCCCACAGCCCCAGTGCTGAGTGCAGCCCTCTCTGGCTTGTGTGAGCAGGAAAGTCGTGGAAGGCACTGTCTCTGTCGCAGAAGAGGCCCTACGTGGATGAGGCCGAGCGGCTGCGGCTGCAGCACATGCAGGACTACCCCAACTACAAGTACCGGCCCCGCAGGAAGAAACAGGCCAAGCGCCTCTGCAAGCGAGTGGACCCCGGCTTCCTCCTGAGCTCCCTCTCCCGGGACCAAAACACCTTGCCTGAGAAGGGCAGCGATGGCCGTGGGGCGCAGGGAGAGAAGGAGGGCAGGGGTGAGTACTCCCCAGGCACCAGTGTGCCCAGCCTCCGGGGCTGCTACCACGAGGGCCCGGCCAGCAGTGCGCCCAGCAGCGTGGACACGTACCCCTTCGGGCTGCCCACGCCCCCAGAGATGTCTCCCCTGGACGCGCTGGAGCCGGAGCAGACCTTCTTCTCCTCCCCGTGCCCGGAGGAGCATGCCCACCCCCGCCCCCTCCCACACCTGCCGGCACCAGTGTGCCCAGCCTCCGGGGCTGCTACCACGAGGGCCCGGCCAGCAGTGCGCCCAGCAGCGTGGACACGTACCCCTTCGGGCTGCCCACGCCCCCAGAGATGTCTCCCCTGGACGCGCTGGAGCCGGAGCAGACCTTCTTCTCCTCCCCGTGCCCGGAGGAGCATGCCCACCCCCGCCCCCTCCCACACCTGCCCCGACCATGATGTCCACTGTCCCTGGCTGTCCCCCGTCTCCTGCCTATTACTCCCCAGCCACCTACCACCCGCTCCATTCCACCCTTCACACCCACCTGGGCCAGCTGTCCCCGCCCCCAGAGCACCCTGGCTTCGATGCCTTGGATCAGCTGAGCCAGGCGGAACTTCTGGGGGACATGGATCGCAATGAGTTTGACCAGTATTTGAACACTCCTGGCCACCCGGACTCTGTCACCGGGGCCCTCAGTGGGCACAGCCATCTCTCCCAGGGGACCCCCACGGGCCCTGCGGAGACCAGCCTCATCTCTGTGCTGGCTGATGCCACAGCCGCGTACTACAACAGCTACAGTGTGTCCTAGAACCCTTGCTGCCCCGGCCACACTGTGCTCAGCTCGAGCAGACTGCGCAGTGCCTCCAGCCTTCCTCCGGCCCCCAGTTGGGGGGAGGCCCAGACACCGGCCCAGAGCCTTCATCCTACAGCCAGGACAGGCTCCGTGGGTCCAGCGCCCTTGTCTTCCTTCAAGTGAATTCCACTGGCTGCAGCCCAGGAGCAGGGCCCTCTGGGACGCTCTCCCCCTCCCAGAACGACTTCCCTGCCCTGCTGTCCTTGCCTGTTGCTGCTGGACTGTCCCCCGGTGCTGACAGAGCCACGGATGCTGGGTGCTTGAGGTGGCAGAGCCAGGGCCAGGACCCCAGCACTGCCACAGACTCAGGCGAAGCCCTGCCTGCCCTCCCCTCCAGCCCCTCCACTCCAAGAAGCCAGGGCTGACTAGACAGCCAAGCCCTCTGCTGTCATCTGGGTTTCCGGAGTTAGGGTTCTGAAAAGGCTGCCTGAAGGACAGCGGGGAATCCTGACAAGTGTAGCCTGGCTCTGTGTGCTCTGCTCCGGACACGGGCTCGCGGCTCTCTCTGCTCTCCTTTCTGCAGTGACCCTCAGGTCAGGACTCTTCAGGTGGAGAGAGGCACCCACCCTGATTCGGGAAGTCGGACAGCATGGTCTCCCACCTCACTGGAAATGGGACTGAATTGAAGCTGTTTTTTTTTTATTAAACATACATTTATAGATAAATTCTGCTTTGTCACGCACACTTGGAGAGAGTCTGTAAGAGACGCCCCCATGCTCACCTTTACGCACACTGCTGTGTGGTGTAAACCGGGTCTGCTCATCTGGCTCTGCCCCGAAAGATCCAGAGAGCCAGGGTCCTGGCGCAGCATCCCCGTCTGCAAACCCAGATGTGTTGGTTTCGCTTCCTTGCCGCTGCCTCAGCTCCCCTTCCCCCTTTCCTGGAATTCCCTTCTGTCCTCTGCTTGCTCTTCCTCCACCCCTGAGTGGGTCCCCAACACAGACAGCCCTGACTTAAAATCCCAGTGATTCCTCTGACCGTGAGAATTCCTTTTCCTCGTGAGCCTGCGGGTCCTGCAAGCACCACCCTCGCCAGTCTGTTAGAGGAACTTCCCCGCAGCACCGAGGTGAGGAGACTCACTTCCCAGCCAGAAACTCACTGTGACTGACCCGGTTCTGAGCCAGACACTTCATTCTCCCCTGCTTCGGGGAAGGAACACCCTGACGGGACACTTGCTTGTCTTCCGACATCTGCATTTTATTGCCTGTGTGAAATATGTTTTATATTTTCTCCGATTATGCTCCCTTATATTTTGAATTGTTGAAAGACCCTTTTTTCTTCTTCCAAGAAGTCTTATTATAAAATCACTTATATGATCACTCTTTATGTTATTACTGTATATGCTATTTGGTAATAAAAGGTAAATCGTTCTGGTGCACAGCCCAGGAGTGTATTAATAATCATGTAAAACAGTATCACAGACATTAAGCTAAACTGTTCCATTTTTTTTTGTAATGACCACACGTGCTTAGAGAGGTTATGGTATTGATTTGTCAAAAATATTTAATTTAAATAAACTTTTTTATACCATGACCGTTCTGTCATTTGAAATACAATTGTGCAAAAGGAAAAATTTTTCAAGTGAAACACACTTAATATGTTCCATGCTACTTGTCGTACTGGTCAAAATGTTTTCTGCATCAACATTTTATTTTTAAAATGTACTATCTTGCAGCAGTGGCTTCTCTTACATTAGGAGTTGCTAGGCCAGACAGATAAAGCCCAATTTCACTGCAGTGAGTGGTGGTATTATCAGTAGCACTGAAAAAAAAAAATACTGATGCACTACCCACAGGACCAGCAGTGTTCCCCTGCAGGTGACCTCACACCTGCAAACTGGAATGAGGTGACTGTGGCTACTTGAGGATACAGAGGGAGCTTGTTCACTTATTTGTCCTATTATTTGCTTGTTTGTTTTTTCAAACCACCTCGAAGAGCACCTTGCTTGCCCTCTTCTCTGAACGTATGGGTGGCCCAGCCGGGTGGGGGCAGGGTCTGACCCGTGATGGCTTCCCGTGGAGAAGGCGGGAGAGTGTGGCGTGGTGATGGAAGGACGGAGTCTAGCGAGGTTTAGGGTTACCCTCCCAGGAAAAAGTATCTGGAAAAGCTGATGATAACTCAGTCCCCAGGTGGTCACCCCACCTGGCTCGCCCTGGGGGAGTAGTCCTGACTTGTTGAAGTCAAGAGCAGCCTGTGCCTTCCCAGGCCCCTGGGCCAAAGAGGGGTCCTAGCAGGGCCATCCTTCAGTTGGCTCCTAAGCAGGGCTCATTGCTTTAATAGCACTTAATAGGTGCAGGAGATTTGCAAAGAGTTTCATGGACTATTCCCCATTCACAGCCCCAGGGAGCCCATCATCCACCCACCCACCCCATGGCAAAGCTGGGGGCACCGAGGCCCACGGCGGAGGATGGCAAGGGGCTTGCCACATGCAGCGGGCACCTGCCAGATGTGATTGTTGCCAGTGTTTTAGCCAGATAGTGCCCAGCTGGGCTTGTTACCTTTGCTTTAGCACTTTCCAGCAGCACAGAATTATATCCTGCAAAACCCACACCTACTCTTAGGCAATGGGTGACATGGGCCCAGGACACATGTGGGAGGAAATGACAGCCAGACTGAGATGAGGCTGCAGGCCTCCCTGTCACGGTGGGTGGATGGTGGCATCTGCAGGGGTCAGTGCAGCGGCTGCCAGGACCTGCCCCTGGAACCGTGAGGGTGGTGGTGTCCTGGCCTCCACCTGGGCAGGACGTAGGCAAGTGATTTGCCTGCTCCATTCTCGGAGAAGCTGCAAAGCCGGGGCCCCCTGAGAGTCGCGGCTGCCGTCCTGGGTCCCTGCTGCCAGCGGCACCTGCAGCACGGTTTGCTTTGGCTAAGAAGCCTGGATGGCAATGTGCAGTGTTGTTACTTTACTAAAATGTAGACATCTCCATGTTACTCCTCTCCTAGGATTAATCGGTGACTGCTTGTCACCCACAGCACACAGCACACAGCACAGGGGAGCCTCGTGGCAAGGCCGGGTCTCCTATTCTGGGCTCTAACCTTTGCGGCTTCGGGGGCAGGAAGCCTGGTCATGGGTCCGCATGGCTGATGGTTTTTAAACTGCCAAAGGGCGATGCTTGTATGTTCGTCCACTTAAGAGTCTCCCTCACCCACTGTTCAAGCCTGGGACCCATTATACTTGCTCAGCACCCACGTGGGTGCCCTTGTGGCTGACGCTCATCTTTCCAGAAGCTTCTTGCCCCACCCCATCTTACTGCAAAGAAGCCACTGGCCTCGGAAGACTCCTTTCCTCTGCCTCAGTGCTTCATGAGCACTGGTGCCCCCACTGGGGGACCCTGTCTGGTAACTCCTACCTACTGTCCAGGTGGGGTCAGACGTCCCCACCGTCACGATGGTCACTGTCCTCCCACAGCACTTGAACAGGTCGTGGGGACCGCGGAGCATCCAGCACACACATCCTCCTCCATGGGGGACTGACCCAGACAGATGTACAGATGAGGACCACCCGAGACAGCTCAGCTGGGCTCAGTGGTACAGACCCGATGCTTCCGGGCCCTCATTTACCTCGAATCTCTCTGGAAGCCAAGGTCACAGGCATCTGTGTGGGTCCTTGTCAGGCTCTCAGGCGGGGTCTGGGTGGCACCTGCTGCAGTGTAGGCAGGAGGAAGCAGGCCAGGACGCGAGCCCAAGGACACGGAAGAGAAAGAGCTCCTCTCCCTTCCTGTCTGGGGGCAGCAGAGCGGAGCTGAGGGCGTGTGGCTCCTAACCCTGCTCTTGCCTGTCTTTCCTTCCAAGAAGGCTGTGATCTGGATTCCAGCTCAGTGAACAGAAAAAAGAGGGAAGGCAGGGCAGAAAGGAGGGAGCAGGAGGAGGAAAGAGGGAAGGGTGGAAGGGAGGGAGACATCGCCCACCCATCTATCATCTTTCCATCTTCCTTCCTCCTTTCTGACTCTCTCTCTACTCACTTACCTACCCGTACCCATCTGCCTGTGTCTGTACCCAGCTCTCCACCCTACTTCTGTATCTATCTGTATTCCGAGTCTCAGTGGAGACATTGTCTTTATAGAGAGTCAAGAAAACAGAGCAGGTTAGAAAAGAAGACATCTATTGCCTGCATTTTAGGAGACATTGCTGGTAATTTCAGGACATGTTTTCATGCTTTTTGTTTCCCTTTTTTGGTACCGGGGATTGAACTTGGGACCTTGCACTTGTGAGGCAGGTGGCAGAACTGCTGAGCTAAATCCCCGGCCCTGACTTCTTGTTTTCTTTTGCAGTGATAGGGATGGAGCCCAGGGCCTTGTACATGCAAGGCAAGTGCTTACTCTACCACCGAGTTCCCCTGGGTTTGTTTATTTCCAGATCATATGCATATGTCTTTGATGATGCACATTTTTACTCATTAATATTAAGTAAACATTTTCCTGCATCATTAAACTTGTCCACAAAAGCTGTCTTCTTCCTATTTGGAAAATCAACATGAACAAAATCTTGAAGAAGACAAATTCCCCACTGGATGTATTTCCAGTGCACTCATTTTGGCATCCTTCAGTCCCCTCCCACGTCCGTGCACATGTAGTTGAATCAGTTCTGACCCTGGCAGGGAAGGACAGGCTGCGGCCACAGGCTATGGGCCATATCTGTCCTGCGCCCCGCAACATTGTCTGTGGGCTCTGTGTCTATGTCTCTCGCTGCCCATGACAGCACAGTGCTGCAGGGCAGCGACATGGCTGGCTCTGCCTGACCATCCCCTTGCTGTCTGGCAACTGAATTGTTCCCTCTTCTAAATTACCCAGCAATCAGTTTCTGGTCTCTGTCCTTAGCTGGGTCCCCACGCATGTCTGTGGCTTTGGCTTCTGGGCTCGGGCTTTCCACACGGGTCTCACCTGTCATGGGATTCCTACAGCAAATCGCTTCTCCTAAGGGGGAGAATGAACCATCCACCATTTATGAAGGGTTTGCAGCTCACAGGCTCACCTGGCTTCACCCCTCTTCACCTCTTGGGTGCCTTTGGCGGTGGCTCCCATGGGAGCCCCTTCCCTCTCATCTCCAGCAGAGGATTGTCCTGGTGGTCAGCAGCCAGAGGCTTCCCCAGCCAATGCAGGCACAGACAACGCCATGGCATTCTGTCCTGGGAGGGGTTGAGTCAGGAGCAGGCCAGGCTTAGCCCTGCTGGACTCAGGTGAGCCCCAGACCTGCCCTCTGGCCTTGGGAGAGACAGAGTGAACTCGTGGGCATTTCAGGACCTGCGAAACTTGGTGCCCATGCACAGCGAGCCTGTGGTTTGGGATTTCCATGGGTGATTCCCATCGCCTTTAGTCTGCAAGCTGGTGCCAGGTTGAGAACTCAGGGATTCGGTGACATCACTTCGGGACTGGTTGTCGGGACCTGAGAAAAGACCCAAGCATGACTGAGGGGTAGCATGGGGGCCTCTATGGCTGTTGTTCTCTGGCACTCAGCTGGGGCTTGCAGGTCTTTTTCCATCCCATGCTCTCCTCTGTGGAGTGCAGTCTCTTTGCTCTTCTTGGAAGACAGCTTTTTGTTCAGTTTGAGGACCTCCTGGAACTGTGTAAGCTAGTCTGACAGATTCCATCATCAGAGTGCTCTGGTGCAACCACTGTGGAAATCAGGGTGGAGATTCCTCAAAAACTAAACCTAGAGGTTCCATTTGACCCAGCTATACCTCTTCTTGGTATCTTCTGAAAGAATTGAGAGCATCATACCACAGTGATATATGCACACCCATGTTTATAGCAGCACAGTGTGTAATAGCTAAATATTGGAAACAGCCCCAATCCTTGTCAGCTAACGAGTGGGTAAAGAAGATGTGGTTTTTTTTATACAGTGGGGTACAACTCTGCCATAAAAAGGATGAGATTCAGACATTTATAGCTAAATGGATGGACCCTGAGACCACACTCTTACGTGAAATACATTGGGCACACATGTTTAAATACCGCGTTGTTCCTCTGGTGTGAGAAACTGAATGTGGAAATAAAAACTGAGATGTATAATGGATGTTGGAAAATGGGAAGAAAGTGTTCAAATGGGAAGGGGAACAAGGGAGGAGGGAGGGAGAAAGGGAGGAAGGGACAAGAAAAAGTGAAAATAGGAGGAAAAAATGGAAACAAAGCTTTTGTACAGAGGGAGGGGAAGAAGTTTGGGGGCGGCTGGGATAAAAGATTTTAGAAAAGAAAAAAATATGAAATAACTTCTGCAGGGTTCCCAGCTTGTAAACAGCAGCACTGGGCGGAAACTCATTCCACATTCATGTTCTTTCCTCTGTAAGTTTACAGTATAATTGCAATGGATAGTTGACCTCTAAAAATCATTTGGAATTCAGGATGATATTAATCTATCTGTGATTAACAATTGGCCACGTCCTTGCATCAATTACAATACTTTTAGGCTTAAAAAAAGGAACTCAAGCAATGAGAAGATTCAGAAATTAGAGCCCCCAGGGTGTCCGTACAGTCA